GTGAAGAGGAACAGCAGGACGAACATGATGTGGAACATCAGGAGGAACGTGAAGAGGAACAGCAGGACGAACATGATGTGGAACATCAGGAGGAACGTGAAGAGGAACGTGAAGAGGAACATGAGGAGGAACATCAGGAGGAATATGAAGACGAACGTGATGAGGAACATGAAGAGGAACATCAGGAGGAACGTGAAGAGGAACATCAGGAGGAACGTGATGAGGAACATCAGGAGGAACATGAAGAGGAACATCAGGAGGAACGTGAAGAGGAACATCAGGAGGAACATGATGAGGAACATCAGGAGGAACATGAAGAGGAACATCAGCAGGAACATGAAGAGGAACATCAGGTGGAACGTGAACAGGAACATGAAGAGGAACATCAGGAGGAACATGAAGAGGAACAGCAGGACGAACATGATGTGGAACATCAGGAGGAACGTGAAGAGGAACGTGAAGAGGAACATGAGGAGGAACATCAGGAGGAACATGAAGACGAACGTGATGAGGAACATGATGAGGAACATCAGGAGGAACGTGAAGAGGAACAGCAGGAGGAACATGATGAGGAACATCAGGAGGAACGTGAAGAGGAACGTGAAGAGGAATGTGATCAGGAACATGAAGAGGAACATGAAGACGAATGTGATGAGGTATGTGAAGAGGAACATTAAGAGGAACATGAAGAGGAATGTGAAGAGGAACATGATGAGGACCATGAAGAGGAACATGAAGAGGTATGTGAAGAGGAACATTAAGAGGAACATGAAGAGGAACGTCAGGAGGAACATGAAGAGGAACATGAAGAGGAACGTAAAGAGGAACATTAAGAGGAACATGAAGAGGAACGTGAAGAGGAACATGATGAGGAACATGAAGAGGAAAGTGAAGAGGAACATGAAGAGGAACAGCAGGAGGAACATCAGGAGGAACATGAAGAGGAACGTGAAGAGGAACAAAAAGAGGACCATAAAGAGGAACATAAATAGGAACATGAAGAGGAACATGAAGAGGACCATGAAGAGGACCATGAAGAGGAACATGAAGAGGAACATAAAGAGGACCATAAAGAGGAACATAAAGAGGACCATAAAGAGGAACGTGAAGAGGAACAAAAAGAGGAACATGAAGAGGAACATAAAGAGGAACATGAAGAGGACCATAAAGACGAACATGAAGAGGAACAGGAAGAGGACCATGAATAGGAACATAAAGAGGAACATGAAAAGGAACATGAAGAGGAACAGCAGGAGGAACATCAGGAGGAAGGTGAAGAGGAACATAAAGAGGAACATGATGAACTCGTACCTTCAATCCTGGGTTGGACGTCGGCCACTCGGTCATTGAACTTCTTCTTGAAGTGGAGAGCTTGCAGTCTCTGCTGGTAGTGGTTGATTCTGGTCGGGCAGAGAGAAGACAGAACACTGAGAGGACCTCAGAACATCTGGATCAACATCTACAGAACATTTCTGGTTCTCCTGTCAGGAATCAGACCACAGCTGGTAGAACCTGTCTGCAGTCAGAATTTAATCTGTTTCCAGGAGACTGGAGGACAACCTGGAGGTTGTGTGTGTGTGTGTGTCATTGTGTGTGTTATTGTGTGTGGTCGGTTGTGTACCTGCTCATGTCGTACAGGAAGCGGTCAGCTTTAGCCATGCGGTCCAGCTCGTGTTTGTGCTCCTCTAAAAGTTCGATGTCACTCTTCTCAGGAACAAACTTCAAGAGCTGAAGAAATAAAAGCGATTCTTCTGTTTCTCCTCCATGTTGTGTGTGTGTGTGTGTGTGTGTGTGTGTGTGTGTGTGTGTGTGTGTGTGTGTGTGTGTGTGTGTGTGTGTG